CACCTCTTCATTTGTGACAACCAAAATGTCTCCCGACATTGCCATGTGTCCCCTGGGGGCAAAATCACCCACAGCTATTAATCACTGCTATAGATACACTTCCTCAAAGATTAGCATCACTTCTGAACTATGTTTTTCTTCTTCTAAATAAAAATCAAAATATCCTTGACCACACAAAGTGAAAACCATACCAACAAAGACAAGCATTTTTCTGTAAAGATACCAAAAGAATAGCTTCTGACAAGGGTCCACACATTTATTGTTACCATTGCAAATAACAAAACAGAAAATGACAGGTAAATGGACAGAACATATCTGCTTCTTGCTCAACTTAATAGGAAAGCACCTGCAATCTCATCTCTCTCCCATCTCTCAGTAGCATCTGGGATCTCACTGACATGCCAATATCTGACCCTGGGAAAGTCATCTGCTGAGCTACTGCCCAGGGTTGGAGCTGGGACACTTCAGGTGTTACTTTAACACAAACTGGTAACACAGGTACACATACAAGGACACAGCACGGGTGCAACTAAATTTCAAGGTCCATTAGCAGCACAAAGGGGGAAAACTGCACTTCCAAATGCAAGCCCTAGAACTCAGCAGGGACATTTTTCATTTTCAACTTTCAAATGGTGGTAGTAATAATAATAATAATAATAATAGTTGCTATTTTTAAGAACAGCTTCCAAATTCAAATACATTGCACTTCAACCTCAAATACTGGAAAGTGTTCCATATTGCTACTGACTTTGGAAAAAATGCAGGGTTGCCGAAGTTCAATTTGGACTAAATACCAGGAAACAGTCGCTTGAGTTATACCTGTACCTTTGATTTTGTGATTCTGCTTCCCAAGTGACCTCGCAATTATTAAGTCATCACAACACTACGTGGATGCTATCATTATGGTTTTGGCTTTTAGGGAACAGTCAACACTGACCAGTTATTCAGCTGACGTTGGATGATAACTCAATATTGAGAGTATAAATAAATGTGTACACATGCACATTTATTAGAGGCTGCACAATGTTGTTGTCCTCTAAAATATCACAATGTAGAATTGTAACTATCACATCCTATGAAGCCTCCACATTCCAGAACCATCAATAGGAAGTTCAGTCCTGACCAACAAAAAAGGCAGTCCTACTCTTAGGTGGTGTCTGCTAAGGTCTGAGAACTATGGAAATGAAATACCAAGTCCGACTTCCAGGCAAATCACCACAAATGTAAATGGAGAAGACGAATCGTAAGAAACTCCTCTGGGTGATGAAACCAAATGCTGTTCCCTCCGACAGAAACCAATCCATGTGAGCAATATTTACTGAATTATCCTCAACAGGTAAGGCTACAATCAAGACACTATGGGCAGAACAAAGATAAATCAGATACTGTCTCAGTCCTTAGAAGGCAAGCACTTTCATTATCAGATATGTACACTTTTTACCTTTTCCCCATTTCAGGTAGATGGCAAAGAACCACAGATCCAATCCTATTCACTCCACTTCCTCATTTAAGATCACAAAACTGAAGACAGAATGGGTCTTTCTCAAATTGAAAGCAGCATTCTAAAAGGAGAGAATTTTGACGAAGGCCTTTCAAACCCTTTCAGAAAGTAAATACGGAGAAATTTATTTACTGTGTGATTGGTGGAAGGGTGGGGATTTAAAAAATCCACTTTTTCATTCCTTTGAGTCCCCTTTCTCTCCAATAAGACAAACAGAGCTCAAAAATCCAGTTCAATCTGATTTCTTGATTTTAATAAAGTTCATTTCCAACTAAATTTCTCTAGGGGCAAATTTACTTTCACATTAAAAAAATCCCTCAGTGATAAATTTGTGAAGATAAGCCATACTGGATAAAAGCTACACAGCACACAGCTAGAGACAGAAAATAAGACACACACACACACACACACACACACACACACACACACACAGCTATCCCTTTAAAGAAAATAAATTTAAATTTAGGGAATCCTTCTTCAATTGCTATGGTACCCAATTTAGAGACAGTTTATAGCCAACCAGAAGATATATCAGCAAGCAATAAGACACAACAATAAGCAATCAGAAACATCAGTGAGCAGTAAGACACCAGAGTCAGCAGTAAAGACACACCAGGGAGAACATTTCTGAGCAATTACCACATGTCTCCATTCAGGAAGGGAGAGAGAAAAACTTCACTCAGCAAGGACTGGAACCCCATAAAACTGAACTCCCACAACTCAGGTTGACAGAGGGGTCTGAAGACACCAGCATGGTCATGGATCAGAGAGAGGGCGGAAAAGCAAGGAAGGGCTGCTCATAAATGAGAACTGTTCACTTAAGTCCTCGTCCTTCTTTCTGGTACTCTATAGACATGGCAAACCGTTTTTTAAAAATATGTGGTTGACTGACAAGATACAAAGGACTACCCACCTTCTGGGGGAAATGAAGAAGGCTGCCCAGCATATCTATATCCACTCTGACCAAGACAGTGTCTATGAAAGGGATGCCTCTGCAAGCATGCATGCGTGCGTGCACGCGCGCACACACACACACACACACACACACACACGGACCAGCTTTTGCAAACATCAGCCTGAGAGCAGACCCTGAGACAGAGAAATCACCTGATGAGACAGATGATTAAATCTAGGAAACTGGCAGCTCTCTTCTAGGTAAGAAAATGGTAGCACCTTTTTACAGACGCATGCCTTTATGATAATTTACAAATGGAAGGAGAGATGGAGCTAACACTCAGAATCTCTTCTCTACATAGCACTAGCAGATCTTAAGCTGAGCTCAGCGGACTCCAGTACCAACAGTTACCCATTCCCAAGCACTTAAACTCAACAAAACCTATGAAAACGCTTCTCAGAGGTGCTAAGAAGATTAAGTAAAATCATGTACACTGGAGGGTCAGGAAGAGGAACTTGTATTTACTGGACAGCTACTAAATGTTAGTTTCCTCTCCTTCCCTGCCTCCAAATTTTTTCTGAGTCACTCCTACTTTATAGCAACTATGGTTTGTGTCGTTTTATGCATGTGTATTCTTTTCCTAATTACCCAGTAAAAATCATGATGGTATGGACTGTGTCCCACACATACCTGAAAGATGCAAAGACATGCGAATGAGGTTATTCATTAAATGGGTAACTCTAAATTTGCTCCAATTTCCCAAAAAGGAAAAAAAAAAAACCACAACACTCTGGTTCTTTAAATTATTATTAAAAACACAGCACCAGTGGCACATTTAGAGGAGTCCCACTCAGAGCCATTGGCTTAGAAAACATGATACTTGTTAAGCGGTAAACTAGCTCAATACATATGGCTGGTATGTTTCCAAATTTCATTTGAAAGAAGTAGTCACCAAGTCCTTCCCATTTCCTTCTTGGAGGTGCACCCACTACCCTGTGCTCTGCAGCTTAAAGCCCAGGTAGCAGTCTCTGTGAGCCTTGCAACAAACAGGACAGTCAGAGGCAGCAAGATCCCACCTTGGGGGAAAGAATGACAGGAGATGTGTTCATAGGGGCCCACAAGCCACAGGACTTCAGAGGCAGTGGGGAACAGCAAAGTTAAAGGCAGAACACTCCATTCCATCTCCAGAAATACGACACCAAACAGTGATGAACCAGATAGAGCCTTTCCAGTAGTGCTTTCTACTGGGTACAAGGGTGGCAAGTGGAGACTGAAGAGGCATGGTTCCAGTTATTAATAAGCAGCTAAACACAGTGGGAGGTTCTCTTGTCTAATTACAGAAGCTGTTGGAAACTGCAAGGAAGACAGGATTTATGGCCTAGATAACACTGCCTCGGTGTTGTAATTAAAAGTTATTTTTAATAACTTTGGTTGGATACTTTGAATTATTAGAAATATATTTTGCAATTTAAAATTTGCTAAAGGGCAAAGAACATTAAAAAAGGTAATAACAACCAGCCTGCATAATGTAAAACAATTAAATGTTCTGACACTGCGAGGTGGGAAAGGAAAAGAATCTCTCCCACTTAAGTGTGTGAATTTTTACAAGCAAAAGGGAAAGGGAAATAAATAAGCTTAAAGTATATGAAACAAGATTTTTTTTAAAGCAGGAACTGATGTCAAAAGTAACCTAGTTACTTACTTTATCTATTAACCAGAGTTTGGGTACCACCCACCAAAAGTATAGACAGCTTGTTCACAACCATTCACCCAAACCACTGAATCCTAATCTTCAGGCTCTTCACTTTGTCCTGGTTCCCCAGAAAATCGTGGTCACCCTAACAAGAGCAGTCCTGGCTCAAGCACAAAGACCCAGAGGCTGACCTCAGAGCAGTGTGATGGTGGGGGACTTGGAGGGAGGGTTCTAATGTGAGCTGTAGGCAACAACATGCTGCATATAATTTGGGTGTTGTTTTTAGTCAATTTTCGTTCTCTCATCCAATATTCCAGTTTCCAGAAGGGGCAAAACAAAATGCCTTCCAGTGGGAACCGCATGGTGGTGTACATGAGTGGCTACAGAATCCGCCTAGGATTAGGCAGGGGCCATTTATCTCCTAAAAGCCATTTCCATAATTTCTATTTCTCCATATATACATAGGAGGCATTTTCTGCAATGGTGGCTCTTTTTTTTTTTTTTTTTTTTAACAACAGGGAGGAGAGAACCTATTATATGTAACAGACTTTCAAAATTGATGGGAGTATGGAGGAGGAATGAACTCTAAAAGGCATGTGCTTCTCAAATAACCTCTATATTTCATTTAATCCATGCTATGAATCTTCTCTTTACAAGTGAATTCCAGCAGCTCATTAAGAGCAAATGTGTCACAGAAACTACCAAATATTATGCATCATGATAAAACTATAAAAAGCATTTTAACATCTGCTATTAAAAAATAAATTTAGACTTCTCTTTACAATGGCCATGCCAAGTTTATAGAATTTATATTATGTGGGTTCCAGTAAGAACCACTGCTCTCCTTTATTCTCTTCTTGGTCCAAAGCAGGGTGTGACTCCATATCAGGGCAGAGAATTGCTATTTTTACCTGCCACATTAATTTTCTCAAGTGCAACCAAGCTGGGAACAGCTGTGGTGGAGTTGGTTGAGTTTGTTCCGGTGCCATTGACAACAAGATTGTCCACCTTCGACTCCAACTTGCCAATGCGCTGCAAAATGTTATCTAATAACACAGCAAGGGTTTTCTTCAGATCTGTAAAAGAAAGTGCAGACAATTTTAAAATTCTATGGCCTCTGCATATCTGTCTGGCTTGCTCTCTCTTCATCATGGAGAATAAAACTTCTCAAATGTTTCTGAAGTGGTACAAAAGATCTGTCAAACCACATCTGAAAGATGACAAGGGCCATCTTCATCTGGCCCAGATCCTACTAAATACATCAGTCTGTTGCAGAATGCAAGTCTGACAATAAGTGACATGGTATAACTATTTCCAGCTACTTGGTCAACAGGGAAAACTCCTTGTTAGCATCCTGCTATAGCACTACATTGAATTCCTCCTTACAGCACCATAGTTTCTCAAACAAAGCATGACACCTCAAGGGTGCAGCAAGATCCCAAAGTAGCCTTTGGATCAAGTTCGTTATTTTTCGTGTTGCATACTCTAGTATGTCCCAGTTTTTTAAAAAGTGTTCAATTCTGTTACTTACATACACTAACACTTCATAAAAGCTACAGCTCCAGATTTTCAGGTCTGCTACACAACCCAGAATTGACTATAATCAGATTTAGGAAATATTTAAAGTAAAGATTAGAGTCATTCATTTGCTCACAAGTATTTATTAAGCTACTACTATGTGCCACATATTATTCTAGATGCTGGGGATATACTCTCCTGGTTCTTACATTTAAGAGTTGGTTCCCTTTCTCACACATCTGACTACACATTAAAGAGTACTGCACTTCTCTCTGGATAAATTACAGGAACTCCTTCACCCCTATGGATGCATTTACTATTTGTAGACAAGATATTCAAAGAAAAAAAAAAAAAAGATAAGCTTAGACTCTCTCCTCTAAAAATTCATAATCACAGAAAGATACACTGACTTGTATGTGTCAGAAAAGCAGATGGGTGACTGCATAACCATCCATGGAAATAGAATCCAGACCCATTTCTGAATTGGGAGTGGGCCAGGGGAAAAGTGCAGAGCGTGGGTAGCAGGACTGAGAAAAGCCCTGAGTTAAGACAAACGGGAAGTTGCAACCTTCCTTTCTCCTGGAAAATAGCAAACTTGTCCCTGAGCAGATGCAGTGATCTGACCATGAAATAAACACACGTGGTCACATAAACAGCACAGATCACAGCCAGCGAACCTCGTCAAAGGTGCACCAGCCTGTTCCATTATGCCCAGTGAACCAGAAGCAGATGCTGGTGCTGTGCTTCTTGTACAGTGGCAGAATCTTGAGCCAAAAAAATCTCTTTTCTTTATAAATTACCCAGGCTCAGGTATTTTTCATAGCAATGCAAAATGGACAACTGTTTTATCTTCACATCCTCCCCATGAGGTAGATGTGACTCCATTTTACAGATAAGAAAACTGAGGTTCACAGATATTAAATAAGAAGCTGATAAAATGAGGGCTTGCCTCAGGACTGTTTAATTCCCTGATGTCTCAATGGGACCAATCAGAAGTCAAGAACCTGGGTAGAAAAAATAAACCAAGGGTGAAGTTCAGAGTCTTTCATCCATAACACAGTGGTTAAGGGCCTGACTTTGGAGCCAGAGTTCCTAGGTTTCAGTCCCACCTCTGGCATTCCTGTTTCCTTATCTGTAAAAGAGTGACATGAACAACACTTCAGCTTTGGGGTTGTGGAGAGGAGTTAATGAGTTAATATTTATAAAATGTTTTGAATACTGGCTGGCACATAATAAGCACTGCATAACCGCCTGTTAAATATATAAGTAAAATAAAGCCTTTCAGTGGAAAATGTTCTCATCCTTCCCAAAGAAATCTCTCCTCAGGTGATGCAAAGCTTTATTGCTTTATCCAAAGGGTCATGAGAGCACTCTCCTCTGCGGTCTGCAGTCCTACGGTCGGCATGACTCAGTCTGTCACAGGCATATCATTAGTTGGCACAGACAGCGGGAGTCGGTCACCTGTTCTGTCACTGAGTCTAATGCATCAACTGGCTCTCCAGAGTTCTGAAGAGTGCCAGAGGCCAGCCACGCAGAAGGGGGCAGTCGTGCCAGCGAGAAGGGGCAATGTTCAGTATAAAGAAATACTCCTCAGTATTTCTTTTCATTTCAGCCTCTTTGCCTAGAGCCTGTGTCATCAAGCCAGCTAGAATCCGAATACGATCTAGATAGCATTTAACTATCACCAGTAATTGTAGTTGGCCAAGCACAGAAGCCCTGGCCCTCTAGTGTGACTTAACTCAGGATTTCTCAACCTCGGCACTACTGACACTTTGGGCCAGGTAATTCTTTGTCGTGGTAACTGTCCTTGCATTGTAGGATGTTTAGCAGCATCCCTGGTCTCTACTCCCTGAATGACAGCAGCAATTCTCCAGGTGTGGCAATCAAAAACGTCTGCAGACACTGCCAAATATCCCTTGGAGGGACAAAACTGCCCTCATTTGAGAACCGCTGAATTAGGTGCATTCTCTCAAACCCTCTGTATTCCCCACTGCCCTCTGTGAAGACATGGAGAGAGAACTGTGATAGAGGGGTTACAGGAAAGGAAATGCCCACTGAATGAACCTGCATCATGTGTGACTTCCATTCACTGGAGGGACTGCTACAAATACAACGGAAAGTTGCAGTGAGGGAAGTCTGCCTTCCTCCCTAAGGGAGAGCTAACAGAACATGAGCCAATGCTGATGGGCTCTCAACAGACTACTGGACACAGTCCTCAATCCATTGTTACTGGTGATAGTCATTAGTGGAGCATACTCTAGGTAGGATACGAAGTTGTCACACTTATAATTAAGAAGATATTCTCCCTCAGTTCTCAAATTACAGTGACTAGTAAATACGACTGACCTACTATTTCTTGTTGACCCCATCTGCCAAAGATTGACCTTCTGTGACTGTGTGACATGGAGTGTAAAAGGGGATTCATGATGAGGAGGAGGGATCACCATCACCACAGCCACCCTGATATCACCTCCTCTACTTACTTAACTTTCTATATGCCAGGCAGTGTGCTGAGCACTTTAAATGAACTAATTCATTTAATCCTACCAAGACAATCTGTGGAGCATATGATCATCCCTATGCCCCTCTTACAAATAAATCACAGCACAGAGAGGCTAAATAATTTAGCAGAGGTGATTACAGACCCAGGACTCAAACCCAGTCTGGTTCCAGGGCTGATGGCTCTTACCCACTATGCTGCACTGCCTCTTAAGAACTACAACGGACCTGTCCACCAGCAAGCATCTCTGACTTGCTTCCCCTGAATCTACTTGTTAGAGAATAACCTCTGGGATTTTGCCATGTGTTCGTGGGAAAACATATACCAACCACTCTTAAGACTCACTCATGCCCCTGTCCTGTGGCAACTCTGGTCACCTGACCCAGTATCACTAAACATCCACCAGCTGACACTGGCAACTACCAAATACATCAAGTGATCCAAGATTTTTTTAAAATTAAGACTCTTTCTATATCTTCTCCCTTAAAATGAAGATGGAATATAAGGCTACTAAAAACCTTGAATTCTCTAAGCACTTTACCTGGGGAGGCATGTTTTCTCTCCCAATATGAAAGAAAAAAGTTCATTTTTAACTCAAGCAGCTACCCAAGTCACCATTTCAAAGCAGCCAACCCAAGATTAAGGATGTTGTTAATAAAAAACAATGACAGAGATGACGCCAAGCCCTTATCTGTATCATTATACAGTGCTTGGCACATTAAGTATGTGTAATGTAAGTAAACAAATGAATGAATGAAACAAACTATAGTACTCTCACAAATAAGGCTCAATAAATTATACGCTTCCAGGCAATGAAATTATTTTGCACCTTGCATTTTACTGTTAAACCTCCAAAAACTGTTAACAGTTTTATCACAATTTTAAAGAACTAACAGGCTGACATGATGGCTTATGTCTGTAATCCCAGCACTTTGGGAGACCAAGACAGGTGGATCACCTGAGGTCAGGAGCTCGAGACCAACCTGGCCAACACGGTGAAACCCCGTCTCTACTAAAAATACAAAAATTAGCTGGGCGTGGTGGCATGTGCCTGTAGTCCCAGCTACTCGGAAAGCCGAGGCAGGAGAATCACTTGAACCCGGGTGGCGGAGGCTGCAGTGAACGAAGATCGTACTGCTACACTCCAGCCTGGGTAACACAGCCAGAGCAATACTCCATCTAACATAACATAACATAACATAACATAACATAACATAACATAACATAACATAACATAAAACAGTTTTTTGTTTGTGTTTTAATCTTTTTTTTTTTTTTTGAGATGGAGTCTTGTTCTGTGGCCAAGGGTGGAGTGCAGTGGCATGATCTCAGCTCACTGCAACCTCTGTCTCCTGGGTTCAAGCGATTCTCCTGCCTCAGCCTCCTGAGTAGGTGGGATTACAGGCACCACCACGCCCAGCTAATTTTTGTAGTTTTAGTAGAGACGGGGTTTCACCATGTTGGTCAGGCTGGTCTCGAACTCCTGACCTCATGATCCACCCGCCTCAGCCTCCCACAGTGCTTGGATTACAGGTGTGAGTCGCCGCGCCGGTCTGTTTGTGTTTTAATCCTAATGGTAACCCTTTCATTCACAACAACTGTACAAAGAATTTCTATAGTTTAATAAAAATGAAAGAACAATATTACTCCAAATTCTTGTATAATATTTTAATATTTCATTGTGTCTTATAGTTGTTATAGCCATAAAATGAGTCCTCAGCAAGATTATCATTTTCAATTACTAATGAGCTTTTAAAATTTTGTTTGTGGTTCAAAGCCTTCACAATAAAAATTTAATCCCAACATTACTACTGCAATTCTGCATTCCTAAAACTTACTGTACATGATGAAGATGAGATCAAAGTAGTTGAAAAACATTTAAAATGTCTCTCTAGGGAAAGCAGGCTTTGGTTTCTATCATGCCGGCATTCTTTGATAAATGGTAAGGTCGATTAAACTGCACTGGAACAGGTTATTTGACAGCTTCTGTTAAGTTTTCATTTCCAGGAAGCCATGGCATTAATGGGTAAGAAGTGACTGGAAGGGGCTGACAGACAC